ATACACACATATATAAAAAAAAAAATTTTTTGTTTCTTTTTTTTTTTTTTTTTGGACAATGGAAGAATCTACAAGAGAGCTGAGAGGGAAAGATAATAGGTAGAATGCCCAATTTCAACAGTATCTTCCTGGTGACTATTGGGTTTTCTCTATAGAGAAGACTGGCTAAAGATTGTAAAGATTGCAGGATCCAGTTAACAAGGAACAGTCCCTCAGTTTTCCCACTTTGGTGACAATGAACACCTCTCCCTGCTCCCAGTTTTGATCTTTCATTGTGTATCTGTATTATATAAGAAATGGATTCAATTTATCATGGTCATTGGAGGCAAAACCTGCATTCAATGATCAGAAGGCAGGAGAGCTTGTATCTCTTGGGCTGATGGAAACAGAAGGGAAATGTTCCTGAAATCACTGTGGTGATTTTTTTCCATATAAGCAGGAATTAACTGCTAGTGTTTCTGACTTGCCTTTCTTGTCTTTGCAGAGAAAAACTCCATCTGCACTTGTTCTTACACCAACGAGAGAGTTAGCCATTCAGATAGAGAGACAAGCTAAAGAATTGATGAGTGGTCTGCCACGAATGAAGACTGTGCTTCTTGTAGGGGGCTTGCCTTTACCTCCACAACTTTATCGTTTGCGACAACATGTGAAGGTAAGCATCCATTTGATATAATGTCCTTGAAAAAGTTTTATAAGAGATATAGGAGCTAATAGTTGGGGTTTTTTTCCCCCTTGAGGAGTAAGTGTGGTTTTATGTAGCTTTAAAATGCTTGTTTAAGACTAAATATTTCTTTAAAGTTCATTTTATATAGGAGAGAAGCACAGTTTATTGAGTGCCTGTTGTATGCCAAATGCCACTGGATATTCTCACATAGGTTATTCCATTTAACCATCACATTTGCTCTGGAGATAGGTTGGTATATCCCATCTTTTATGGTTGAGAAGGTGAAAGATCCATAGTCAGTAAATTATAGTTGCTAGAATTGAAGGCTTAATTTACCTGACTACTCCTTCCTTAGTTATGCTATCATGTTATAATCTATATATTCTGAGATATACAAAAATATGTAAAAGCAGTGTGGTCTAGTTATAGCTTTGGAAATTAGGTAGTAATATGGCTGTAGATAAATCA